GTGGCGCCGAAAAGTCTGAGTCAGTCTAACGCTTGAATAGTGCAACTGCCTTGAAGCAATCGACTGTCAGTGACGATGTGGACCATTGTGGTTGGGTCTTCAGCTCACGTCATCGCACTCGTACCTCCGACCACCAATTAACCCGTCGTGAACATAAACATACGACGAATCCTTCTGTCAGAACAGTGACAACAATACATTCATTTACCAAGTTTGCGTGCCTTAGGTACCGAAGCAGGCAACTTGCCACAGGATGACTCATATGTGCCAACAAATCTTTCGGCTTCGAAACTCCCTTCAGGACAGGAGTGAATAATTAGAACACCAGGGAACTGGAGCGGAGGATAAAAAGCCGGCGCTTGCCCTAATTGGACTAAGACATCCCCAGTAGATGTGTCGCAATCAGACTTCTGTTGTTTTGCTACCTCCAGAAGGGATTCGCCTCCCGCTTCGAAGGGTACGTACGAGACTGGGATCACGAGTTGTTGACAGTTGGCAGCGTTAACAGAGGAGGAGGGAGGTGGGAGCAGTGAATGTTCCACAGATGCATCCTTCCTAATGAAGACGAATGATCCGAGGCGGAGGATATAATGTTTGTTGGCAAGCGGCGTACCGTGGTAACCGTGGTGGACAATAAAAGTGCAACACGGGTACAAAAAATAATGTCAAATTCGGAGGAAGATATGATGTGGGGTGTACAATGACTGATTTTAGGCACTGAAATGCCTAAAAAATTGACAAATTTTTGTCTCTTCATGCATACTTATCTCATTTTTCGTTCAGTTTGGCAGATTTGGCATATAATTTACCAGAATTTTCTGTAAATACTGTTTTCTTTTAAAATTATGGGATTTAGCAAAGAAGTGCAAATTCAATCAATTTCATTTGTGTACAAATTAAAAATAAAAGCCTGGAATTTTAATGTATGATAAACCTACTGATTATTTCAACCACCTCTAATTTTGGTTTATTTTTCCTCATCTATTTCTCGCATTTTGAAAGAGATTCTAGCGATTTCTCAGCTAGGATTTTGTTAATAACAATTTGGTTGAGAGAAAAAGGGAAAAAAGCAATTGTCCTCCCTTATTCAAAATAAGGACGGAAAGTATTTTTTTGGAATCATTTTAAGAAGCCAGAATTGGAGTTATCTGATCTGACTAGTCTAACTTCGTCCGGTCTTTTTATTACACCCAAAGGAGTGCCTTTTACAGTTTTGTAGTGTAAAAGTGCAAAATTCTTCCCTCTTTTTTCCGAAATTGAGAAAAAATGAAGAACTAAGCCTTTCTCACTTTTATGCATAGCGATAGGCGGAGGTGGAGGAGTATCCCCTGAAGCACCTCTGGAAAGTCCTCCTATTTCGCGTTCAAGTTCACCCTCTTCAGTTCCGTCTACTTCTTCTGCCGTCCTTTATCACGTTTTCATGATTGCCTAGTGCTTCAAATTCCTTACAATCGGAAGGTGTTTCACTTTCCCCTAAAGTAAAAGAATCCCCACCTCTTTTCTCAATTTCTCTTCACCTAAGTGTTTGTGTTGCGAGGAATTTCTAGCCAAGGTTTCTTCTCCTGTAGGATGGAAACTCTGGGGAGGTAGTCGTTTCATCTGGTCGACTCGACTGCTGTAAGGCCCAAAACGCGAAGAGTCTTTTTACACTGACGACAGGAATATGGGCGTTCATTTACTCCACTCTTTTGTGCTTATTTCGTGCTCTCTCATTTCATTGCCTCTGCCCCCGTCAGAAATAGGAATAAAAGATGCTCACGATTGGATGGACCAACCATTAACTACTTAAAACAGAAATAAGTAGTTTTGCTTGCCGAGTTTACGATGGTAGGAGGTTGAAGGGGTCGTACGGAAGAGGGCTTAAACGGACTTTGTGTGGTCCTTTTCCTTTTATTTCTCTTTTTTCATAATTTTCTGGCGCATTGGTTGCCAGTGAAATGCATTGCTGTACCATCCAGTTTACTGACAGCTTTGAAAGCGCTCCAATTAGTCACGCATCCAGGAGCTTATGCGAAAAATTCGGATAATCCATCAAAAGTCGTCAAGATGGTCTCTCTGATGAAATCCTCCTCTTCTTCTTTCGTCACTCGGCACCTACGAGTTATTCCAGTATCGCTCCCCTCTCCTCCCCCTCCAATCCAACGACTGCTGTTTCAGCATGAAGGTCCTACATTCCCTGTTCTTTTTTCTTCCAGAAAGTTGCCATAGTTTTAAGAAATTGTCTGCTTTCGATGTCATCCACCTGGCAAAAAACAATCGCCTTGTTTCCCTGCTGCTCTGTTTTCAAATAGCTTGCCTTCTGTCTCGTCGTTCAAAACAATCCGCCTAAGTTCACCGCCCCTTAATTGACCACCTGGGCAGGAGCAGTTACTTGAATCGGAGTGGTGAAATGAGGGAGGTGCTTTTAAAATGTCAAATTATCCTTGACGCTTGACAACGCATGTCATAATGGACCAGGCTTTTGTGGATCTTGTACAGGCCTCTTTCTTTTGTATAAGAAGGAGGAAAAAAAGGAAAAGGCGACTCATTACCAAATTAATTCCCATTTTTTTGCAAAAAGGAACAGTAAAGCTGCCTTTTCCCATGAAATAATCCTCCAAAAATTGCTAACGGAGAACGACTAAATTGGGGTAAAGCTCACGTTTAAAAGGCGGTTGTTACAAAAAAGACACGAACAAGCGGATTTTTCAGACGAAGCGCAGTTTGGGTTATTAAAAGTATATGATATTATTGCTTTGATTATGGCCAACTCCTATCTTCTCGTAAGGAAGTGAGCGAATGAAAAAGGGGCAAATCCCTCCTCAAATCGGGGTCGGGGGATGGAGGGGGGTAAGGCTTTATATACCTCTTTTTCACAAGTCCCCATGCCCAATTGTGCACCACCGCCAAAGGCAGGCCCGTCCCCCCTAGCCTGATGCGGAGAGTCGTGCTAACTACACCGGGTCATCTGGGGTCAGACGCAATTGCAGGTGTGTGGAGTCAATGCACGCCCTTGTAGCCCCACATCCGTCGCTACCGTCACTACACTACCGCCGAGTTTAGCGTTAGCTTTTTCTTACACGAGAAGGGAAAGAAGTACGCAAATTTGGGTGGAAATCGTTTTAAAAGTTTTGTCAGTAAATCCCCAAATTCCAAATCCAACCACATTTCCCTCTCAAAATTGGTGAGTGGGGCGAGGAGGAGAGGGTCAAAATAGGAAACGGGACGAAAAAAAAAAACAATTACGGGGGCTTGTTTCTTTTGTGTTTTTTTCCACCAAGGAAAAACAAGGCTCTAAATCAAGTCGATTAACTGGAAATTGTCATAGAGATGCGAGGGTAAAACCGAAAAAGACTCCACAACTGAGGGTAATGGGGAAGCCAAGTGATAGCTGGAAACGTGAAGTCATTGAGTGACAGATTGTTTTGTCCTTGTGGCGGAGGGGAAGTCTGAACATGACAGATAAGACACTTGTGTCAATCAAACAGTTAATTCGGTGTCGAAACTGCTCTTCTCCCCCGCCCCCACCAAAAATGCGAAATAAATTTGTTGACTTTTACAACCTCAAGCTAAACGCTTGCCGGGTCCTATTTTAAGCATCGCAATTTTCCCTTTGCCAAGTCTTATTCACCGCTACTTTTGAGGTGGCTTTGAAAAAGACAAAACGCGTGGAGCATGCATGACACGGCGGGGAGGACTGTGGATCACGCGCATTGGTTGGTGAGGGGTAATGAGGCGACTCTTAATCTCTGGATGACGCGAAAACCCCACCGCGCGCTAAAAATAGACACCATAGATTGTGGGAGTGAAGAAGAGAAAAAAATAAGGAAAATCGGTCCATTGGCGAGGGGGGGATCAGTGAGGTGGTGGGGCGATCTGGCAACAGTTAAGCCAACTAGAATCTGCCCTCCTTAAAAGTTTTGGTCCCATTTGGACTACTTAGAATGATCATTTCTTTGGCATGTGGACGAGCGGTCATAGCTATTGTTGCCCACGCCTGAAAACCATTACAGGCCTTCTGTTTACACTTTGCAACAGGATTGTTTCTTAATGCCGAACACGATCAAAGACCTAAGGAGACTCTCATTAAACAAACGCAACCACATTTATTTGTCCTTTAATGGAATAACAGGTCTTCATAACTTGAAAACAATTGTGGAATCGAGGAGTTGTGGTAAATTTTCTTCACAAAATTAAACCCACATTATATTTCATTTGATTAGTGGTATCCGCAAAAAGGCCGGTAATTCGTCTGAAATAATTTAGCATGTTCCAGCACATTATTTTTAAAACTACTTGTTCATGCCACCCTTTGAGGTTCATTAATTATTACGCTGTTTATAGGTAAAATTTATTGGACTATGGAGAAAATATAACACGCAAATTTTAAATACGGAAACGGAATTTTAAATAATTTATTATTGAAGCAGTATATATATCTCGTAAAATTGTTCCCGTAGAAAGGTTTAGGAAAATAATATCTAATTAATGAAGAGACGTGCAAATGACAAAAGGCAATCTTAAAAAGCGGACGCCTGCATATTTTGTTTTATAAAAATGGTCATTCGTGTTGTCATAAATGCTAAAAAAAAAACACTCCTTAGAAAGTAATTACCCTTCAGCATGATAACACTACAAAAAAGTCAAATCCATCGATTGTTGAATACACAATCTTACGCGTTATAAATATATGACATGAAAGTAAATGGTTAGTACAAAATTTATCTTCTCCCAAAAAAGGTATAAAAGCTTGAATTAAAGTCAAGTATTTCTTCACCATAAAAGACGATAAAAAAGGTTATAAGAAGGGGTAAATAGCCTGAATAAGCAAAGGATAGGAATAACATGCTTATTAACAAAGAACAAATAACAAGTTAGCAAGGACGCCATTTTACTACTAGAAAGTTAACAAATTTAACACATGGGTGCATTTTCCTCACATGTTTCGCTCGAACATCGAAGAAATCTGGTAAATCTTAAACTTTAAAATTATCAACCTAAATGACAAGCAAAAATAAAAAATGGAAAAGACTTACGATATTGCTGAAATGGCGGGTTTGGCGCAAAAAGTCCGAAAAGTAGCCAAGTCCGTCCGAGAACTCAAGGCGCTGCAAGACGTATTCCCGCAGAATGCAACAACCTTCAGAAAGACCAGCCAGTGATTAAAACAACATTCAAAGTGCATGTAATTCACACCGCTGGAACGTCCAAATGCATGATTATGAGTAAAGGGATCTACTGCAAAAAGTCAGTTACAAGCAATTAATAAAAAGAAAGTGTGCTACATGTATACGACTTTTATTTGGGGCAATTGATAGCAAAATCAAACAACACACTAAAAATTTGGTGCTCAAGGTGGTGCTAAGGTTTTTCTGTAAATTATAGACTTAGTCGGCTAGGCTGTACGTCTTAGCTAAATTAATTGCACATACAGCTTCAACGAAAATGCCAAAGGTCTTACTTGGTGCATTCGTTGTGAGTAATATGCAAAAAATCTATTTTAAATCATTGCTTGGAAGGCGTTCTACTTTTGATTAAATAGTTTCTCATCATAAAAATGTAACTTTTAATAATATGTCACTTTTGTATTTTTACTTTCTTGTTTTTTAAGCTTTTAATTCTGTTGCTTTTCTTTGTATGTACAGTTGTTTTAATCATCATTTGCTACCCGTTTTTTTAAGCATATCCTCTGACCAATGAGATCCCGAAGTATTTGCATAAAGGTGCTGTTTGTAAGTGGGAAGTTTCGGGTTATTCGCTGATGAAGGCTAGTTAAGATCTGGTTCTTAACTTTCGTGTGCTTTTCTTCGTTGTTTGTTGCTCTTTGCTGACGCCATCTTAGACATTTTTGCTAAGGCTAATGGGTGCATATCCGGGCAAATTCGTTCCCGAATTTGTTGCGCCTACTTGTATATTCAGATTTGTGATTCATTGAATCGGCTTTTGTAAAATTTGCTTTTTCTCTTGCAGTCTGTCTTTGTTCGTTCTGTTTAGTGCCATGCTGCGTCATCCCATGTATTTTTCATCTTCCCTTTTCAATCGGATCCTTCGTGGATTAGCGTCTTCTAACTTGACAGAAATTGAAACACCATCAATTGATGCTGTATCGAAGGCGGTAGAGGATAAGAAAGAAATTAAGCCCCTTGTTATTCCTGGCCTAACATCTACACAAACGAGACAGATTGAATTATTTCAACCGAAGGTAATAAATCGTACTTTTCCTTAATTTCCCAAAGTGACACTAAATTAGCGTTGCTGGATTACTTGGACCTATTTTTTCGGACTGGAATTTCCGTTGCTCTCTTTCATTTTTGAAAAATAAAACTATTTTAATAGGGGACTAGGTATGGTTGTTAAGGTCATTGTTTTTTCTTCTCATTAATTATCATATGTGTATGTGATGTTCCGTTCTTAACAGTAAGCAGCAATTTGCCATGCTCTAGCTCACCGTAAAAACCCGAAACCTGATAGCGGTTAATTGCGCATGATTTTGCGACTCAATTTTGCGCCTTCAATTGCATTCGTATTCAGCTTTGTGTTTGCTCTCTCTTCTTCCCACGCTAGTTTTCGGAGATCCATGAGCAGCAGATCGGGGAAGATGACTGGCCGGCTGTGTGGCCTTGTGAAAACTTTTTCAGCCCTTATGTTTTCCCGGTTCCCATTCGTCAGGGCCATAGTAAGGTTTGTCAACTTTTTACATTTGGTTTCGATTACACTGAAAAGAAGCATCGTAAGGCGTTTTTGGTGCCATATTTTTAGACGGCGACTTGTTTTTTTTTGTAAATTGACTGAACATATGCAAGGTACTTAATATGATGTAATTTTGATATGTTATAATTTTTTACACATTGAAGTCCATTTAGGAATGCACGTTGTCGTTTTTTTAAATAGAATCTAGTGGAGAACGGTGGCCTCTCTCCAGCCAAGTACGCGAACGCGGAGCTCCTTAAAATTCCCAACTTTCTTCATCTCACCCCACGCCATATTGAAAAGCACTGCAAGGCGCTGCAAAGTAAGTCTCACCTCATGTTTTGGCACTCCATCCATTCACCTCCTTTTGGTGCACAGAATTCACCACCAAGTGGCCCAGCGGTCTCCGCACTGATGAGGATGTGGATCGTAATTACCCCGTGGAGGTGGTTACGCATTCCTTTACGAACAGTGCTCCATCTATTCGCGACAAGAGGGCGAGACGTGTGACTATTCGGGTTCGTCCACCTTTCGTGACCCAAACACCGTCTACTTATTTGTATTCCAGTAGACTTAATTCCATTGAATGTTGCTTTCCAGGTTTCACTTAAGTGCCTGAATCTGGACGAACGCGGTCGACTGAAGCTTCTGCGACTGGCTAAGGCCTATGGCTTTGAGCGTGGAATGGCTCAGTTCTACTCTGACCAGGATGTTTTGGAACTAACCTCGGAGCGGTGTCCAGCTTCGCATCAAAATTACGACTACCTCATCTACGTTTTTACCGTACTAACCATGGAATCGAAGGTTTGTGTTTATTTCCTGAGTGGATCACCGCTTATTTTAAATCCCATGCATTTGAATTCCGTACTTTTAGGATGTCTTATTGAAAGATATTGTTCGTATATTTTTTGTTTCAAAAATGTCGTCTTCCTTCGTAAAATTGGCTATTCATTATCTTTTCGAAATCCAAACCATCAAAAGTTGATATCCTGCCTCCCCTGTCTGGAAATAAAGGAACATGAATCGCCCCTCCTCTCACCCAATCCGCTGTTGGTGCTCCCCCTAGATGTAATTTGCTAGCATCCCAGCCAATAAGTAAAGGGGAACGTTTATTGGCTTTTTGACCTGTTCTATTAGGTGTTTTATCGCTTTTTCGGGTTGTTTATGGGTTTTGTCACCTCTTGTCCTCGTTTTCCAGTTTTTGGCTGTTTTTTTTCTTGGAGTGAGTGTGATTTCTGAAAAGAATCTAACGGCCGGTGTTAACTTACCGAAATGCTTGTGGATAGGCGAGAAAAGACGTTCAGTTTGACAGAGTCTCAGTTGCTAGTTCCATACATACGCATTTAAAGCCCTTCAAGCAGTAAAGAAGCGTTTAAATAGGTTTAGAATGCCTTGGGTTTTCAGTTTATTTGTTTATTTAGGGCCTAAGCACCTGAAAAGTGGGGTGGGGGGTTGTTATGAGATCAACTTGACTCAATTGGAGTGTTATGCGCTACAAATTTGAAGTGATTCCATTGATCCACAATCAACCGATCATAGCTTTCAGTGTTGCCATCTCAACCGATTTGCTGGAGCAGTTAATTGTTTTTTATTTTCCTCCTCCTCACCTTGCAGAAACACGAGCCCTGGGAGGATGAGGAGACGGGTAGTTACTTGGACTTCAAGTGGGAACGCTCCAAACATCGCAAACGCATCTCCAACCTCCTCGGGCTTGAAGGTGATTCCTCTAAAGTGAGTCCTACGGACTGTGCCGAAAGTGCAGTGTTGTCCTTTGATTTTAGAAGTGTGTTTCTAAGTCCAGATTTTTCTCTAGGAGCAAGTTTTGAGTTAATTTTCTTGAATGTGCTGGTTGGTGGACTTGGTACAGGCACAGATGTCTGAAGTTATCAATGAATCCTCCCCGAGGCATCAAATACCTTCTAGAAGGCTTTAAAAGGTACTTAATTATTCCACACTTTATTCTCAAAACGTGAGTAATTAATCAGTAGATTCTGTTCCTGACTAATCAAGCAAATGTTCTGAAGAAGCCGTGATTATGCTATTACCGCCTTATTGACCTTTTATACCGGTTTCGTTGTGTAATAATTCAATCGCTTCTTTGAAACTTGTTTGTCTTCCCCCTCCAGATGGATGATGTGCCCGCCGTGAAGGCCTACCGCGAAGCATTGGAGGCGATCTTTCACACCCCCACGGAGGAGAATACGGGCCCATGGCAACATCCCCGGAGGCAGCCGAAGCGGCGTCACTATCACTGGCCGGAGATAAAGGATGTGGTCTTTGAACCCGTAGTCGGCGCCGACGTGCAGGCCAATTTGGAGGCTTATGGGTCGGCTGTGAAACGGCTTTACACAGAGAAGACTTCTTAGGTTGGAACGGATTGTATAAAACTGTGTAGTTTGTCTTCCTCTGCTTACTTGCTTTCTTTACTTCGTCAGTTTGGAAGGACTAGGTGGTGTGTCATTCCTGATCAGAAGCGATTCATCGAAGCAGACGGGTTTGGAAGGCTCCTTATTATCAGCGCACGGGAAGGCTCCTGTGGTTACACAGAGTTCGCCATTGAGCAACTCAAGAGTCGTCTTTCTCTGCTAGTCTGCCGTTCCTCATATCTGGAGTAATTGTATGTGAAATTAGGACGGTGAACTTGTCGCCTGTCACGAATTTGTCGTTTCCAATTACCCGCACACCCAACTGATACAAATCATGGGACTGCGGAGGTTCGGGATGAGGGGCTACTCCTTTCTCTCATCCAAACTGAAGTGCCAATCTTGTGCCTTCCCCGTTTTTTGCGATGGGGATATGAAGACTTTTTTTTTGATTACATACTTCCGCTATTGGTGGTACTGTTGTTTGACCCTCAGCAAAAGAATTGCGGGGAATTATTCCGCCTCCAGCCTACCACACACACACGCACAAACAATGCAAGCGTGGTCTTTTGGAGGTGACGGATGACGTGTTACGTGCCTTAGAGACATTACATGGGATAGCGGGTCGTTTTGGTGGGGATGGCCAATGGTGGATTCGCTTGCTTCGCCCTTTCTTGCCACAAGGTAGTCGGTCGATTCGGAAATGGTGCGAAGTGAAGAAATCGGGGGGGGGGATTCTTGTGGGATCCGCTTGCTTGGTGGTTTACTTGACCCTCCATCTGGAAACGTAATGTTGGCCTTGACACATCCGCAGTTTGCCCTCAAGTGGTTTCCCCCGCCTCCTCTGCAGAAGCAAATTTTAACCCCTACTGCATGGCGCCTTGGGATTGCATTAAACATGAGTAGAAAAATACAACAAAGTATGAAATGCTTTCGCCAGATTCTTTTTGGAATCGTAAAACATAGGGACAGGAAATGCGTCCTTACTCTAGGTTTTTTTCCCGCCCTCTACTTATATCCTATTTCAGTAGCACACGTTTTATGACGCATATGTGCGTGGTCGTCGGTTTGTCTCAAAGTCCAAGTAGTTAGCAGATTTTGACACATCCGATGGGCGCATCGAGGTCACCACAAGGGGATCAACATTGCTAGACAATTGTGGGCCAGCTGGATAAAAACACCGGAACTGGGTCCCTTGTAGGAAATTTCCTCATTACTCGTACACGTTGGTGAGCGCGGAGTCAAGGAGACGAACTCTTTGGAAGGAGCTGCTTTGTTGTAGGAAGTCTTAACGGATTTGGGATTGGATTGCATCCGTTTATACTAAAAAACTGGTGAAAATCTTTTCTTTATGATGCATGCAGTCGACAAGTCCCTGGGGGTTCCAACACGTCTGATTTCTCCTGAACTACCTGACGCAGCAAAGAAATAGTGGGGATAATGAAGAAGTGTTTAATTTCTCGATAAATAAATAGGAATTGCTCTGAACTGGTGGGAGCTTGGCTGCAATTGATCTCCCCGAACAGAGTAATGAATTGGCAATGATTTCGAGCAGGACCGCTTTCTGGGATGCCAAGCGCTCCTGATGATTTGCTGAATTGAGGTTGACCACCAACAAGGATTGTCAACAGGTCAAATCCTTTCGAATCTTTCCTCCAAAATGGAGCTATTGCAAGGATTTTATGCAAGATGGCGATTTTGATCTCCCTGGATGCATGTCTTATCGGTACCAGTGTACCCGATGGATCGCTCTGCAAGATTCGCTTATCAGATCGTCAGCGCGGCAATTGTTTCAAAGAATGGTTTTATCAAAAATGCACAAATCCTTGATAAGCCAGTGGAAGAATGATTTCGCCGAATACCAAGCCGTTAAAAATAGGTTCTTGTTTAAGGTGAGAGAGAGAGGAGTTGGCTCCTTTCATGTCCTGCTTGTACATGTTTGAAGACACGACTTCCCGCCTTGTTCCAACAAGGAAGGATTTAACATGTGGTACTTGGCCAATCGCTGGATGACAGGAATAATGTAATCCTCCTACCACAGCACCTCTGCCTTCGCCCCTCTTTCGCTTGGCATATCTGCGTAAAATAGGCTACGGCATGTGCCTATCACCTTTGTTTCGGATGGCCTTGACTGCATCTTTAAAGTCCCTTTGTATTCAAAACTGACCACCTAGTCGAGCTGAATGGAAGCGCAAATGTCGAAACCATTCTGCAAGGAGAGAAAGGGAGGACAGGAAAAGAGATTGTTAATTAACGAGGCTTTGTTAGTGGGTCTTTCATGCCAAGGTTAGGGATTTACTTAAAATCCCAACATGAACTAAGAATAGTGGCTTGAAAACGCCAGACTTAATCCCTGTTTTTACCTCCTACGTAAGTAGACACTGTGGATCCTGCGTGCTCTCCCCTATAACCCATTCTCGTTTGGCGTGGCAGCGTGAATGACTCCGGACACCGAGTTGGAAGAATGCCAGGAAGAACAGATTATTCCCAAATAGTTCTTCACCCAAGTCCAAAAGGCGGAGGAAGATAGTGAGGAATACGCAATGAACTTTTAATTATTAGTCGACTGGTCAGATGAGGATATCTTTTATTGGGTAGGGTAATAAAAGAGCCCAGCTGATCACCTTTAAATGGTTTTGGAGTTAGTTTCCCCCTTGGGGGCTAACGGAGTCAGGAGAGTCGCATGTACCGACCGTTCCTGGCCTAAAAGGTGCAGTCAATCCTGCTTTTATTACACCTGACCTCACAATACTGAGATGCCTTATTTTAGCACCGCAGAAAGGTCATGACCATGTAATTCAAGCAATATGAGGTGTTTGGGCGTTGCTGCTGTCTCATCAAGAGGAAAGGAGACGTCTTCTCTTTCCAGGGCAGGAAAATGTTTACTGTGTTGCCTAATTTTCTTTTTACGTAATCGCAAGATGACCTTAAACATTTGTTTTAATTGTCTAACGTGTGGCGTTAGTACGGCTAGAGTAAACTCACTACCTCACATTGAGCAGGGAATGGCCGGTATCAACCACATGGACAGGCCAAAAACAGGAGTCATGACGCCGTCGATCTGCTCTACTGTACCATTCCGAATAGGACAATGAACTGAATTTTTCTATACAGGCGGCGAAAAAAGTATTGAAGTACGGGCGGCTTTAATGCCGGCGCAGCGGAGCGCACCCTTCAATCTTCGAGATCTGTACTTCCGTCGCAACGAAATGACCGCGCCTTAGCGACAAATCTTCCTTCCGACCGGCGTGGGTTATAACGCCTTCTGTGGGTGGGGACGATGGGGGATATGGCCATAATTCACCGGCATGGTCGGAAGTCAAAGTCAAAATGCCTCCATTTTCGTCACTTTGTACGTCCTTTACATTCCTTGATTTCTTTGTTTAAATGCACCAAAATTTGCTGCCTTAGTAAAAGAGAGAAATCAAACATCTCGGACGATTCGGCCGATAACTCGGTTCACCTATCGTATTTTTACACACAGTGAAGGTGAGAATAAATGTGGGAGATAGCAAAAGCTGCTAAGCTAGGCACTACTCTCCAACTTTAATGAAAAATCTGCGGTTTTTCTGCCTAGGTCAAACAGAAGCGCGATCTCAGTGGAGCACAGCTTGGTGTCTGACCGTCAAAGACGTATTGTCAGCCCTCGCCATCGTCGTCTTAACACCTCTGAATGGTCGGACATCAGGTGGTCTGAGCTGATAACTAAGATAACAATTCTGTCATTGATTTGGTGTATCTTTTGTGTTCTTAATGAAGCTTTCCAGTGGACATCAAATAATTCAAATCCGTTCCCAGTTCATCATGACATAAACTTTTTGTCTTTAACACTGTCCACAGCAAATTCCCTTCTTCCGCAACAAAGTGCTAATTGTTGGCCTTTTAAAGGTAAACGTCAACCACCACCACTGGTATGACACCCTCAGGTCCCGCCTCAGAGGTGCTACAAGATGAAGGAATTCGGGCAGAAGTTTACAATAGCTCTCCAGATGGTCTGATGCGTTCTTTGCAAAACTAGTGTGGACAGAATGCCCCATCAAGCGGGATATGATCATTGACCTCTTGTCAAAGTCAAAAATTTTGCTTTAACCACAAAATTGTTTTCCAAAAACCATGTTAACGTAGTAACAAGACGCGAAGAAAAATGGCATCATTACATGCTACTGAGGAACATTAAAACCACCGCAAATGACCAGCTAGAAAACTTCAACAAAAGCTATATTTTAAAATGTGCGCCCACCTATGACATCCTGCCCACATCCCCATCTATTCGTGCAGTTGTGTTGTGTGCGTCTATGTGTTTATCTGCGCTGCCAAGGTCACGTTGTGTCTTCCAATCGATGTGCCCGATCAACCAATCGGTGGGCTGGCCAGGCCCACGGCCAAAGAAGCAGTAGCAGCTAGTAGAAGGCTTCATGCCATTCACCTACTAAAGCTTTCGTTCATATGTTGGTGGAGAAGGAATAGACCCCAAGGAAGAGCAAGAAGAAGAAGAATGTCCAACCCAGCATTTGGTGTCCCCCAAATCGTCCAACCGCCCGCTACCTCTGTTTCCACCATCACCGCCACCACCACAGCAACACCAACAGGAGGGACTCAGAACGCCACCACAAACAACACCACTACTGGAAGGAAAACAAATGCCAAAGAGCCTGGATCCCCCCTGAAACCAGTCTGCCTGCCAGCTGGAAGGTATGAGTTTCGAGACAATGGGATCTACATTGGTGAGTGGTTGGACGAAAAGGCAGTGGGTTTGGGTCTGATAACAAAGGACAAATCGCAAGGCGAATATACCGGTCTGTGGGAGGCGGGATCGGAGAAGTCGGGCGTTTTTCTCTGGCCCAATGCGCCCGGAGCGATGTACGAGGGAGAGTGGGCGATGAATAGACGGAATGGATTTGGTGTGTTCAATCGAGAGGACTGGGTGATAATGGGCAAGTTTGAGGACGATTTCATCACCATGGGAGTGAAGGGGAAAGACAATGCACCAGGGAAGTTTGAGGGCCGATTCGAGAATGGATTTCCCGCTTTTGGTGTTGAGACTTATGGAGATAAAGGTGGGTGGTTGCCTTAACTTCAAAAATATGGCATTTGGAATTAGTTGTTGCAAAATTCGCTTTTTTGTTGAGGTTTGGTCACTTCATGACCTAATTGTCGTAGCAGTGCTTGAATGCGGCTAATTTCGAACAGAGGAATTTTCTAGGCGAAAATATAACTTTGCTCGAAATCTTTAATCATCGGTTACAACAAACCGTAAAGTCTGGTTTCTCCATGTTTCCCATAAAATAATGGTAGTGTTTTTAGATGGTTTTACTGCTCTTTTTACAAGTAATTTTGGATTGCACATTTCGCTTGTTTTCTAATTATGGGCTTGTGAAACCTAAAAAAGAATGGGGAATCTCGGCAAGATTTAAATATTAACTTTATTAACTTTAACTTTAGAAAAAAAAGCTCTGGGCTGTTTAATAAAAAATTTCGTGGTTATAATGCTGCGGTCATTTCCGAAGCTGTTAACTTTAGGATGTAAGTTCTTCTAGTATTTGGCTGGTTTTCTGAAACCCATTTTTTATTCCTTAGCTCGCCTTATCAATTTCATCTTTCACATTAAATACTCAGCCTTGAATAAAAAAGGTTTTTTCTTTTCACAACACTTTATTAGGTGTTACCATAGTAACAACCTGGCTATTCGCGCTCAAGCTAAACAGCTGAGTCAAATTTTGAGAAGCGTCGACTTTTGTATCGGGGTGGGAACACCGAAATTGAGTTCCTGATGCCCCGAAGCCGCACTATCACTTTTGCTTATCCTTCCAACCTAAACACGGTCCTATGGGTGTGCTTGGAAGAATATGAATCCATTTTGATAGTCCATCAGGATTAAATATTCCAGGGTCTGCTTATCCACACACGCCATCTTCCATTCGGGAGATTCAGGCGTAGGGTTCGACCGAGTGAACTTAGTGCGCCTAGAGCTACCACAGAAGTTGCAACTCTAGCATGAGGGATCTACTCCAAGATCACCCACTCTTGAATGACCCACCCCCAGAGGCACATTGTACAAGATATTTGTTTTATGCCACATTCTACTGTCACGACTTCTACAAACTTAAAGAACATATTTTGTAATTTCTGGCACCAAGTTCTGCTCGTGAAATCGACCTTGATTCAACTCACATCAACCTGGTTAGTTTAAACCACAAATTGAGGGTTAAAATTTGATGCATATAAACGTTTGCGTGCATTCAAGGCCGACCCTCAAGTTGGATTGAAGGCAGTGCGCACCGCCTGAGACTCAAAGATAGTGGCAATGCAGCGTGCCTATTCCTTCCCCCTCCCAAAGTTGCAACAAGCTAGAGTAGTCGGGGCGGGGGGAGGAGGTACCGCTTACCAGTGTGATCCGAAGGTCATGCCGCAGAGGGGACTGAAGTGACCACGAAGTTAAGCACAGAGTTGAAGAACTCTCGAGTCATCACATAAGGAAAAGGAACACCTCAACTAGACATTTTCCTGCGTGATTCCTTCTACCCCCGTTAAATGCTTCTTCCGTATTTGAAATTCTTTTCAAACTCCCTCCATTTAATGGTGCGCGCTCAAGTTTGTCTGTGGGAGTGTCTTGGATCCATCCCATTGTAGCGCGGTGAGTGCGTACGCGCCTCCTAGCGGCCAGTCAGCGATGACTGCCTGAGAGTGGGTCACTCATCCAGCAATTGTTAACTGGGTGACCTAGGGGTCAAGGTGATTATTGACACACTTAAAGGTCAGTTCAACGTAAGCTGAGGTGAGCAAGAGAACAACTCCTAGAAGGTGCGTGGAGTCGGCCACCAAAATGGAAGCGCCTAATAAAGTAAACAGCAACACTTTGGCGATCGTAGCGTACATAACTGCTACTTTTTAACAAAAAAGTCTCGTTTGTAAAGTGGAAGATTGATGGTTTTAAATTTGCGAAGGGGCTCTACCTTGCAAGGCAAATTCCCCTCCCTTTCGATGTGGACTCTGTGTGCTTAACGAACTCCAAAAATGCGAACAAATCAAACCTATTTGCAAATCAGGTATTAAACAGAGGCCTACTCAACGTGGAATGTGGGGCAGAACACAGCATGGTCACTTTTATGCCTCCCCAATGGGCGTGGCGAGATTGAAGGGACAACAGGATTGGGGGAATTTGCCACGACTAGGAAAGGCGCAGTATACCACGTGAAATGCTCGCCTTATCCTCTACTAGACTTCCAAAAAGGAAGTTCTAGTAAAGAACTGCAACAGAAAACAAAACGATGGTAAATAAAACGCTCTTTGTTGGAATCATTTGGAATTCGTGGCAAAAGAGACCCCTTTTTCCCTGCTTTGCGGACAGGCTGCACCGGACACTGAAACGTGATAATGCTGCAAAATTCTGACGTCGCCTTCAAATCAAGGCATAAACTCAAGAAGAAGCTCTCGCATCTGACGATAGGCTAAGTTCTTCACGACGCTACCAGAAGACTTCCAGGCTCATCATTCAGAAAAATCATGCCATATCTTGTTTTTAGCAACTCACTCTGCCTTTGTTAGTTATAAGGAAGGACCGAATGGATTAATCCACTAATAAATAACTCAAAACTTGGTAGAGTGACAGTAATATGAATGGAGGGGTCTTCCCGTCTGACCTTCTGATTAGTCTCGTCGTCCCCCTTTTGCGTCAGCAGAGTGTTTAGGGCCGATACGGCAAATAATGATGCCTGACACATTAAGTCGTCTTAAGAGGCTTCACAAGTCAGCTCACATGGGTTAACAAGAATGGCATTTCATAATTAATTAAAAGAAAGTGGAATTCTGAATTCCATCAGCCCATAGACGCAAGGTAACTGCATCACTTCCCACCCTGGATTTTGCCCAGTTGAGGCAAAAGTTCCCTTTTTTTCTAAATAAAATTAACGAGAGAACCCCACTTATAACTGCTAACGTGGTATTTGGCTAAACGCGCCACCCTTACTTGATGCTTTGTGAAACTAGCTAATGAAATTGGAGGAAATTGGATTCTTGATTGTTGATTGGTTAATACAAATCCGTTGCATTATCATCAGTGCCTCAGGTTTAAAAAAATAAAATCTTAGTGAATACATCCGCGCAAACTTGTAAAATATAGATGAAAAGTAAGAATTTGATCTAAGTTGAAGAGCACTTGACTTTTACTATTTGTTTATGTTGGGCACAAAGGTCTAAGTATATATTGGGTCAATAAAATAAATCACACATGCTGGACGTCATGAAACCAAGGCAGTGATCGACACCACGGTGATTGATGGGCACTCATGAATAAGCAGACTGCTTGAACAAATGCCTCTTTGACAGGCCTCCTTCTTCGGTCCCTCATTCTCACTATTACACATCGGAATGCGGTGACCGAATGTCATTAATGGGGCATAAACAGGGCGCGTGAATAGGGCGACCTTGGAGTCCGTGATGTGCAGCTTGGACCAAGAGGAGTGTGCTTTTTAAGAATTGAATTTATGGTAGGGGTTTGGGGGGTCTCCACCGATTTTGCTCCCCTCATGACATTGTGGGTGAGGGCTTTACAACCAATACTTCTCATAGGATGATTCATGTTTGGCGAATTTTGTCTAAAACAAAGTTATCGGATTGTTAAAAAAGGGTAAATTAGCCTCATGAAGTAGGTGTTTTATATTCCTTCCCCCGTTTAATACTTTCCTTGATGTAACGTCTTTCAAGGGTACATGGCTGATTTATTCGACCAATGAGAGAGTAATGTGGACACATACACGCTGTCCTACCCTCTGTTTAATCCCACTTAAAATCACTTTACTAGGCTACTATATCACTGCAGTCTGGCAGTTGTCGAAAGTGGACGTGACTTTTCCAACCATTCTGCCGTGAGTCACCACATATTAACAAGGCTCTGCTACAGAAGCACTTTTCCGTGATTTTTAGGTCCAGTATCCAGGTCAAGGAGTGAAGGCTCCTCTTTATGTCGTCTGAATTCTTTCTGAGGCTGACGAAGGACATATTTTAAATATTCTGAATAGCTTGTTGGTTATCATGTCCGAAGCTCTCTAACTGTTTAGATACCCCTCTTTTTGATCTTCCAAAGTTCAATTGCAGCAAACTCAAAATCGAATAAATGTTCTTAAAAAATAAATAAATTTGGTGGTTTTAAATATAATTAACCCCATTTCATATTGCATGCTACTTATAAGAATTAATCAGTAGGATTCCGGGGTCTATTAGCTGGAAAAAGAAATATGCACTACCTTCCCCAAATCGGACTTAAACGTCACGTGGGCTTGTTTTTCGACCTTGTAGTGCAGAGGAATAAGTATTTATGACCGCCCATTTCCCGCGTTCGTGTCCGTGTTTGTAAGTACTTGACCTAAAGATAAAAAAGAAACATTTCCCCCACCAAACTAATCGCAAGTTCGACTGAACTAATAAACGGTTTTCTTTAGAAGGAAACACTTCACTGTTTGGCCCTCCTTTTTTTCCATGCAGGTACCTACTGTGGCGATTACAAGAATGGCATCCGTGAGGGTCTGGGTGTGCGTCGCTCGATAACCTACGGCGAGGTTCTGGAGCTCTACCCGGAGATCAAGAAAGCCTCCAATTCCAGTAAATTGGAGGATCTTCGCAAACGCGGAAAATTGCCCTCTCCATTGAAAATCAATCTGGATCGTCGCATGTCTTTCGATCAGGGCTCCATCGATGTGCCCTGTGAAGCAGTTTGGAGCAGTGAGAATAATTCAGACGGTGTTGACGGGGTAATGGATGGAGAAGAGTGCGATCCAGAGCCCTATACAGCGCCTCGTGATACCACATCCTATTTGGAGTGTGCAATGGGGCATCGACATCAGAATGCCACCTACAGACTGATGGTGGCACAGCGTTGTGGATTTATGTTGTCGTCGAAACGATCTGAGCTGTTCATAAAGCGCTTAAACAAGTTAAAGCACCCACGGATCAACCCCTTTGGTTGTACAACACCCGAGGCACCAGAACGAAAGCGAACCCAATCGCTCTCGATGCTGTTCACCTATCCCGAGGAGACAATGCCAACCCTCCCAAAGAGTTATGTACGACAAATGAAGGACTTGTATAATTCCTCCAATTCCCTACCTAAAATTATCCCCGCGGAAAATGACACGGTAAGTGGTGTGGAGAGTATTTTTACTTTTCTCTAGCTGGAATTGGATCTCATAGCCGATGACACTGTGGAAGTGTATTCAGGCGAATGGTTCTCCGACGCGCGTCATGGATACGGTGTCTGTGAACGCACCGATGGTCTGGCCTACTATGGTCAGTGGTTCAAGAATCAGCGCCACGGCTTTGGTCATACGCGATTTCCTGATGGGACTTTTGAACAGGGCAAGTATCACAACGGAAAGTTAGTGTACCTCGCCCTGCCGGCGGGCAACAAGCCCCACATGGTGCTCTACAATCGACATGTCATGCAGGAAGTGCAAAAAATGGTGCATAGAGCAATGTTGGCTGGGGAACAGGCACAGAAGAAGGCTATTGAAGCGAGGGAACAGTGAGTTTTACTGCCTTCTTCTTCCTGTTCCAAGCGTAGATCAGAAGCCAGATGCCAGCTACTAACAAAGTATTCAGTAGTATGCATTTTAGGAGTCCACAGCTAATGGCGTGATATTCAGTGGAATATTTTGATGATATTTCGCGCTTTTTTGTGTTTGTTCGCATGCAGAGTCAGTATGAAGGTGTTGGACTACATTGAGAAGGCCAAAGCTGCCGCCAGTTGCGCTCGGGAGTATTCTCTGGAGGCGCGGGAACTGGTGCGCGAGATGTATCCCGACTTCGAGCAGCCGGGTAGGTTACGGTGAAGGGAAAGGAAAGCGCAAAATAGAGGACCTTCTTCTCTCAAAATCAAAATTTGTGGCGCTGGGGCGGACCTACTGCCGTGGTTTGGAGGGATGGTTAATTGACCTCAAATGTGTTCTTGCTCATTGTAATCCCGCTTGGTTCCTAACACGTACAGACACGTTTTGAGTGAGTCAGCAGCCATTGTAAGGCCACAGTCAATCACATACCGTGGATGCGCAAACGTAAAGCCATTGTAGGCCTCTGGTAACCCCTAATTCCCAGCTAGCCTTCCATCGGCTTCCGTGCTCACCCATAACAGTCGGCGAAATGAGGCAGCCGTGACTGACTCGCTTTTTATCAATTGGTATCTGTATTTCTGAGTGGACGTGAATCCTGATGGCTTTGCTCTCTCCCTCCTGCACCATCACCTCAGCCGGAATGGTCAAGAGACAAGGGCTTCAATAGGAATATCTTCATTTCCCGACGCGTTTGAGTAAGCAGGTGCCACGACCTTGACCTTATGGTGGCTATTATCACATTGAAAGGATCAAACGGAAACGCGAGTGTCCAGAATGTTTAGGCGTTAGCCACTAAGAAAATGCTTCCAGAGCATCCTGCTGTCGGAAAGCATGCCGTTTACAGGAAAGGCGATCAAATGTGTGCTTGAAGGATGTATTGCAATTTTAGCAATCCTTCCCCCCTCAAGATATTTCACCTTTGCCTGTAGATTCTGATACATTATTCTTTTTTTCCTGTTTCCTGACAGGCATCAAATACCTCGAAGACATAGTTCGAATGATGCGGGTTACACGACAGGGCAGTCCCACCTTCGAGGCGGCCCTCCAGTCAGCCAAAGATGTTGTGGCAGGGATTGTTCGCGGTTTGACGCGAGGGGGAGGCGAAGAAGATGAGGAAGAGGAGGCAACTAATCAACCCGAAGAGGATCTAACTTTGCCACCCAAATTTTCATCCCAACTTCGTGAATTGCAGGAAAAGAAGTTGCTTATGTCGAGAGCAGGTTCGGTACGAGCTCAGAGACGTGCGAGAGCTTTGAAACTGGCTGAGGAGCTGCGACGCAGAGAGGTGAGGGAATCGCCACTTTTAATCAGTTTATCAAATGAGAAGTACAGATTGGGGAGTAGGAGAACCAGATCGTAGCATCTGCCAGAAGACGGCGTGGTTTTGATATCCCCTCTACCGCAGAATCTCACAGATTGAATATTTAGTAGTTGAATCCGAAATTCTCGTTTATCCTCCCTCCTAGCGTCTACTAATGGGCGAAGATCCCAAATCTGTGATGGCTGCTACCACCGCAGAAGCACAGCGTCAACAACAACAACCTCAACAACAAACAGACGAAGCAAAAAAGCGCGCCGCCACTGCCACTGCCACCTCCCAACTGTCGACTTCGGGGGCGGAGCGGAGAGCGACAGCAGAGCGCAGCATTGGCACGGAGAGGGCAGATCGATGGACGACGGAAATGTTGCCAATGTCCGGACGGAGGCAGCAGAGTGCGCCACTAAATGCCAGTGGAAAAGCCGACACCGCACCAGGAGCGTTTCTGCATGTTCCAGGCGTGAAGCGCAACTACACAACGAGACGGAGAAAGGAGGATGCGGGTATGGAAGAGACCGATGGATCGTACGTCGAGATTCCTGATAGTAAGTGAAATAAATAACGCCAAATTACTTCTATGCCTTCTTAACTGCCTAATTGTTCACCAGTTTGCCGGTCCGTCAGTCTGGAAAAAGAAGCGGACTTCAGGAACAGGAGCCAAGTCCTCTTTGCCTCCTTGCCCACATTTGATTTTCTGCTTTCCACATCTTGTCTGTTCCTTAAAGTCAATTATTAGTGAATGAGAGTCCCGTAAATTTTTTGGCTTTTATCGTCTCTCATTATGTTTGACGACTCAGTGTATGTCAAAGGTGCGTCTGTTAAGTATGGAAGAGAAGTGAAATGGGGAAGCAAAGGTTTCTAAGAATATGTACAACTTCCTGATTCGCATATTTTGGTGCTTTTAGTGAATGAACTGGAACACCAATATGAAATTCCTGCCTGTCCACTCACCAAACTGCTAGCCAATCCGACGTTATTTAGCAACCACTTCGACTACTACACTACCCTGCCTCCACCGATTGCCGTGAAGGCCACAGCGACCACTGGACTGCATCAGGCACGTCTCACACGACCCGAGGTATTGGTTCAACCGGAGAAGACCATGTCAGCGGCTATGGAATATACACCTTCGGCGAAAGAGGTCGTCTCACCGACGGATAGTGAAGGGTTCGGCTTCCTCTCAAATCTCGCCTTCTGGTCCTGGGGCAAAAATGAGGTGGGTCTGACAGCAAATTCTGCTTTCCTTAAGATATCTCATTTCTACCACCAAATGCTGGGCTCAGCCACTACAATTCATGTCTCATTATAATTTTTTAAATTTTTGGTTGACTACCTAAATCGAGGTTTGTCACGAGATTACCCATTGTAAATGAAAAGTAAGTCACCACGGGGAGAAGTATGCATTAGAGGAATAGGGAGAATTCGATGAGGTAGTATTACCCATCTTCAATTCCTCTGGGATAGAGTGCAAACTGAAAAGTCACTTTCGATCATGCAGGAAGCATCGAAAGATCGGGAAGTAGTAAGTCCAGTCCCTTCTGCGAACGGTTTTCCTTCCGCTTCGGCCTCCGTCACCTCCTTCAGCCAGATGGTCGCCGGATCACAGGAAGGTGGCACAGATGCCGTGCAACTAATGTGCCGAGGGCTGGCGGATAGTCCACAGAATCATCTCATTCCCACCACCGATAGCAGTCATTCGCTTCAACAATTCTCCGACATTTTCGTAAGCGAGATAAAATTGCTACTTATGTGTGCTCAGTACAGTCTATGTTTTCAAAATTGTAAGGCACACAAAAATATTTCTGCGATCATATTGCAGAAAAAAGTACTTCTAAGGGGAAAAGTTGGGGAATTTAAATGAAAAGTGGTTTTAAATTTTCATATTCATGTAAATGAGCCAGGTTTTTTGGCGGCAGCAAGGTATTAGTAACCACTCCATTAGTAGTATAACGCGGATTGCGGGTAGTAGCCAGCAGACTTGATGACCCTCTGACGGGCTCAGTTGTCTCTGCGGGCACTGGATGATATGTCAAATATGTTGATCAACTTTACGACTGTAGCATTTCTTCTGCTAGGGCCTAGCCGTAAAATCGACCTCCTCGAACTACACATGAGGCGCTCTATTTCAAGTCATGTCAGTCAAATGCCAAAACAAACGCACATTCAAGTGCATTGAGCCCACTAAGCGGCACAATCTGCGATCCTCGAGATTTACTAATACATTGATAAGGAAATTATTGCACAAAGACTACCTGTTGGAAACCAATGACGTCATTTTTGCGCGTCTTTCCCATATCTACTAGTCATGTCAAGATGAGAAATAATTAGCACTGAGTAACGCCTCTTGCTGGTGCTACTAGATGCGCCGTAAAGTGTTTAATTCTTAGCTTGTCTCCATCTCCTTCTTCTTATTCTCCTTTCAGGATTGGTTTCGCTCCAACCTTTCTCTGATTGCTATCATCTGTTTCAACTTCTTCCTTCTCCACGTCTTCTTCGCGCATATGAGTCAGAGCGAGGAAAATGGTGCCTAATGTGCCACGCCTTTCTGTGCCCATCCACCGAAGCTTTCACCTCACCCATTCTCTCCAAGTCGACCTGCACACTAGCTTCCTTTAGGCTGGCCTTTTGTCCACCCATCTGTTCTGGGCCTACAAAAAAAGAGTTATACATATTATATATATATATATGTGGCTTAGAGTGAACAGCATTTTGATGTTTTTATGCCTAAATTTGGGATCGACTGGGCCAATCGAAGCACTTTAGGCGCCCCGTCACATATATGTGACGTCATGACTTGCTTACCTGATCCTAAGGTTAGTTATTATTGCCGCTAAAATGGAAAATATGCCACCTTGCACAGAGAAAAACTGACACTAAGGTAAGGTTTGATCTTTCAGAGTAGATTAGAAGTGTTTTAAAGGTGGTGGAACCGATGAAACAGGTGTAGAGCCCTCCGACTACCCACGTGACCACAGTTAGACCTTCGAGGGAAGGATGGAAGGCGTCACAAAAGGTGGTGTGAATAGGCTGAAGAGCCGCGAATCGTCTGTACAATTGCATGCGCCTAGACAATCACACCTTAAATGAGCTTGACAGCGTGCCAAATTTTACCAGAGAAGCTGCTTGAGTTTGCCATTGCATCGCCACCAGACGCGAGAGACTTATTGGGCACCTCACGCCCATTACTCACCAAACTCACCGGTAAAGGGTGGAATTTGGCAGTTCTCCTTCATCTTCTCTTTCACTTTCCACAAATTAGTCGTCCAGTTGTGCACCGAAATTTCAAATTTATTTGCCATTTAACAAGTTGCGTTAAACTTTCTGGTCACTTTTTTGCTTGTGCTTGTCACCTTGGATAGATGGAAAATTTGACTGCAAAAGTGACACTTAAGTGTCAACAGTTGATCTGTCATACGCTGAGTGCATGTGTGTTGGCAGGCCAAGGTCACTTCGGCTGACGCACACACGGATAAAGGTCACCTCTGCCCGGGGGTCATTCATGGGTGAGGCTGAAGGGTTGGTAATCACCCTGAGTATGTGATGTGAGGGATTCAAATCCCTCCAAGTGTCCAGAAGGTGGCTGTCAGGGCTGCATGGAGTGCAGAACGAGATGGAGTGATTCGCCTTGAGTAGTGAGTCCACCTGCCACCTGAGATCAGTCATCCGCATGTCATGTTAATGCTTATTCAGACTACTGGATGATTGGTTCTGCGGAGGTAAAATATTCTGCAACGTGAAGTGGTCATAGATGCTTGATTTGTGGGAGCATCTCACAATTCCAGGCTTGGCAACCTATGGGAGAGTGAAGCCTTTGTCACAAAGGCGGTGGATTGTAACCTCCATTAATGGGTACCTTGGGATAGGTGAATTTAAAAAGCGATCATATCCTGGTACATTATTTCAAAAAGCCTCTTGGGAGAGTTTAAAATTTGGGGGGGGGAGGAGGAGAATGTAACAATGTAATAAATGAAAGGTCCCTGATGTAACAATGCTAACTGTTGATTTGGGTACCGAAAAGGTGGTGGGTATTTCGAGTGGGATAATGACAAGCCTGACAAGACTGTTCGGTTTGAGAAGCTATTCCAGCCTCGGCTGGCATCGTCAGCCCAATAAGGCCGTAACTCGGAAAAAGGCGAGAGGAGGAACCCTCCAAATTGAAGCGTGTCACTCGATGAGTGGAGGGGATTTTTAAAACTCCCTCCAAAAGGCAATTTATCATAAAATATTGTCATTTTCGCAAATGTGGACTTGATGGAAGCGCTTTGAGGTGAGAAGCCTCACACAAATACATCCTCCTCCCCCTCCTCCTCCTCCTCCTCCTTCTCGAAACAGATGTCGTTTTACTGTCGTGGGAGATGCCGCTGATTAATGATGCGGAATGTTGGGATGTTGGATTAGGATCCACACCCGGTCCTCTAATCTGCAGCACCAAGAAGGGTGTGATGCGGACTGCTGTTTACATAGGTGGGGTGGGAGGAGTGAAGGGGGAATGTTGGACACCTAGCAGGATAACCACGCGACAAAACGGTACCCCTTTACAAGCCGAACGAAAGCGTATCAGCTTTCATTTTTTGATCCTTCATGACCTTGTGGTGGATGTTAGCTCTTCCAAAAGTTTTCTGCTGGGTATTAACCAATAATGAAAAAGCCACTGAGGTCGCTATCCACGGAGTGTTTTTTTTTTAGAGCTTTGAAGGAGGGACGTATTGTCGAGGGTCGCAGGTAGCCGTACCAAGGTGCTACCGTGGTGAGGCCTTGAACCATTGTAGAGGAGGCTGCAGGCACAGTTCCACCAGCTGTTGGAAGCTCAGTTGTTCCTTTGAACGCTGTGGAACCTGCAAATAAGCTCGGTTGTACGCCTTTTGGTGAAGATCCCCGCCTTGGAGTTTTCTCAGCCCCCCAATCCCGTTACCAGTCATTCCCGTGAACATACAGCTAGTCGGTGGAGCGGCTGTTAGCCATGAAATTCCACAAGGAACGTCCCTACTCGAGCATACTTTCTATCTTGACACAGGCAGTGTCAAGACAGCTTGCCGTCATTGTCTGTCACAAAAAATCGCATTAAATAGTGGTACCAACGCTGTTTTTAAGCTGATCTAAGGACCCAACCGTCCCCCCAAAAGTAACACTTGAGTCATGCGATTTTAACTGCATTTACTCACCTCTACTGGGCGGTGGAACAAGCTGCATCCTGTTTGAACACGACTGTTTCATACTGGTAGCGGCAGCGACGAACTCCCACATATGGCTCCACCACGCCAGATTCAACCTCTGGTTCTGCCCTCCAATGGCAAAAAAGCGGCATTTGCTGAGGCCACCGTCCAGAAACTTTTCTTGAACGCCGTAAAAGTTGGCATAATTGTAGACGCCGACAGTGGCCCAACTGGCTGTGTGGCAGAACGGACTCCAGTAGGGAGAGTTCCTCCATCACGCCCAAAAGATGGCAAAAGAGGCGGAGGCTTACAACACCTGGCAAAGCGAGCCCTCCCCAACCATTCACGAACAAGGGAAGAGGGATAGATATTCCTTCAGGTTAGAGATCCAGATCGCTCACAAGTTATGGCGAAGAAGTGCTGATGGCTAAAATCTGTCAAGACGCCGATCTGCAAGAGGCCCACTTATAGCTGAAGAGATTTCGCACTTGAGCTCTTTGAAGAGGTCT